TTCAGTTTCTGCACCTTCAGTGTCTTTTTGCCGAGTGGGACCAAAAGTAAACTTTCATTTTTGTGCACAGAAAAATCTGCCTGATTGTCTGCTGGCTGAATTGCTTGTTTTTTGCATAGAAGCTTTAATTTTATTTTTTTATATTATTATTATTGTTTTAAGTGCATTAGGTATTTCCTTTATATATATATATATATTTCAATTTTTAATGAAGATATTTTGAGGTTTTATGAATTTTTGCCTTGTTGCAAACACTATGAACAGAATTAATTGAATAAGAAATATATCTAATGAAATTTCAGGAAATGAGTACTAGCAGCAAATAATGTTTAGATTTATTACAGTATTTTAATAGAGCATGTGGCAATGATTAGATAATTCTTCAGATGATATAATTTTTGTGCATTCTGAGTTATAAAATGAATGATATGTAACGCTGTTAATTGAACCTAGCGGCAGTGTCGCTATGGTAAATAAATATAATGAATTTTAAAGAGTGCATTTATTTTATTGTGGTTTTATGTGCTATTGACGAAGCAGATTTAATTCAATTCAGTAAGTTTAAATGAAATGCAGGAAAAATGCATATAATTTAATATTATGTACAAGGAAATCATGTGGTATACACATCAGATTTTTTAATAATGCATATAATTGATATAATTACAAATAGAATTAATTTACATTATATTCAAACAACAATTTTTAAGAATACTTGCAGCATTATAGTAATTAAGAAAAGATTCTTCTATATGATATACATGTCAATATAGAATTGGCTAGTTTATTTTTATATCTGTATTAAAACCCATTTATTAAACTTAAAGTAGAGTACGTATGTGCTCATTTAGCTTGTGCACTCTACCATCTGTGAATTCCGGTCGTTTGGGGGAGATGCAGAGAAGATGGAAAATGGATACTACTTAATCTCTCAACATTTCTTTTACTGAATTTAGTATCTTGTAGTTGTACTTGGAAGAAAAAAACAACAATATTAAATTTAGAATTAGGGAAAAATCACAACCTTAAATTGGCGTACAATCTGAATAAATCTCTATTAATTTCAAGAGCAAGCAGACATAGGTTTATCTTTTTCAGGAGCAAAAAAAAAAAAAAAATTCAGAGCAGAAGTTCTGAAGCTCTCACCCTTGAAAAAGTGGATCTTATGCCTGATTACGCTCAAAATCAATGGTTTTATTCAAAATATATGCCAATCTAAGTTCACTTTTTTGCTTAATTTTAAACTTTGAAATTGGTTAAAGCCACCTTAAACCCAGGTTAGATTCTATGCTAAATTTCTGTATGTATCTTATATATTTGTTTTCACTTTTATGATGTGTTTGTTAAAAGTACAACGTGAATCATAAGTTACCACATAAGTTATTCCCTTATCAAAAGGATTACCTAATTTATAAATTTGTATCAGGTTAAGGAGGTAGAAGACAGAGGAGTGGTTTTGAATACATTAACTTCTACTTTCATAAAACGAAATTTGGATACAAATAATGCCAGTTTATTTTTCTTTTTTACAGAGCTGCAGGGGAAAAAACTCAATTTTAAATGCAATAATCTGAAGTGAGAAATGCAATTCTATGAGAGCTATGAGAAATTTAAAAATTAAAGACCTAATGCACAATATTTATAGCAGCTATCGATAAAAAAAAAATGTGTCAGACAAAACTGTTTCTAAGACAAATTTACTGAGACAAAATGCTGCTATGACAGAGGAGAATTAGCTAATGTTAAGGCAAAAATAAAAGGACAAATGCCATGAAGAAGTTTTGGAAAAAATCAAGGTCTCACTTCCCAAATGTACTCCATTAAGACGACTTCCTGCTACTTTGGGAGAAACACTGGCAATGATACCAAGAATAAATCTGGATTGCAAGATAAGAACACATGAAAAAGACAGTGACTTGATCTCAACACATGCTCTAGAAATTCATTACTTGTGCCAGACAGCCTATTAATGCATTAATATACATAAAATAAAAGTTCAATAAATACTTATTATATTTGTATAGTTGTAATGTACTTAATAAATGATACTTACACCTTTAAATTGTGATAGAGCAAGAAAGAACGTTATTTTTTTTTTAATGGAAAAACCATTTTGATACAAATAATTTACATAAAAAGGACAATCATTTTGATGCAAAGGGAGTATGTGTGATTCCTTTAGTTGGAATAATTTGTAAATGCAGCCTACAGAAATATAACTTACTTTAAAATCCAAATATGAGTACCCAGTTTTACAAGAACTATGATATTTGAGTGTAATTATAGAAACAAAAAGAATATATTCAAGGTAGAGTGGGATATTTTCTAAAAATATCATGCTTATTTTCAGAAAAACTTTTAAAAATATTTACGAAAAAACTTCTTTTTCAGAAAGAAAAAATGAAAAGAAATATCATAGGGAAAAAAAAAAAAAAGCCTTTTTTTACAAGTGTCAAGCTGCATGTTTTACTATTAATTTAATGTACCATCCACTCTTCCACCCCCCCCAAAAAAAAATTATTAGGAAATTTTAAATGTATCCTTCTCCCCCCAAAAAACAATTGTTTTATCAATTTAATTACTTATTATGAAAAAATATAAAATGCTCTAAGATAAAATTGGGCTAATGCCACTTATTAGCAAGTATGTGCCACATGTATTCAAATATAACTGCAGCTATATATAAAATTATTACGCATTCTAACTTTTGTTTGATGCTGTGTGCAGCTTGACAAGACTGATGTGCTGTGACTGTCAAGAATTTGCATGATTCAATAAATATCTTTGTTTACTGTTCAAATAATCATGTTTGTGTAACAAGAACAACAGTATAAATAGCATGATGTCAGAAGTGTTTCACTTTAGGTGCCTTATTTCAAAGTTCAAATGAATTGAACATAGGCTCCCATGCATTATTCAGTGAATATGATACAAATATGATTTTCATCATCTTGTCTGTATGCAGAAGTAGACAAGATGATGTTGTTTTAGTAATTAGAAATGGAACTATTTGTGTTCCAAAGTCAAATTAAATTCATATACAGTATTTCAGCTGAAACATGGAATATATGACCTTGCCGGTCAACCGGGATAGCGGTTAGCAATGCTAACTGCCATACCAAAAGGCCCAGGTTCAAAGGGTACCAAAGGCATGGATGTTTGTATAGTATCTGTGCGTCATGGGACACTCTAAATATGCGGCGAAGCAAAAGACCTCTCAAGAGATTGTGGTAGGGAAAAAGGGTTGGGGGGACCCTTGGAGCTGCCCTCCACAGGATGCTCTCCATCAAAATAGGGGTCCATCAAAGTCATGCTGTCACCTGTATGGTGCTCAAGGCTCTTGCCAACAACAGGCACAAACTTGCACTCCTTGCTACTATGAATGCCATGGGCTTGTTCTGATGTTACTGTCAGGCAAGTGAAATAAGCGATACATATAAATGGCATCAGAAATTTAAAAAAACTACCTCATTGCATCTGAAAACGTTATACAGCCAGACTTGATAAAAATAGTCATTCTCCTTAGTGATGAAAGAGTAGATATGTTCAATACCTTCAAACTAGAGGAATGTAAAAGCATGGGAAAATTTATGAATTATTGCTTCTCAAGGTAGGATGTTAAATTTAAATAATTAAAATGTTTTCCTTGCTTCCAGCAAGAAAGACAATAGTTGGAAGATTATTTAACAGATCTCAATACATTAACATATCTACATGCAACTTTGGTGAAAAGAAGAAAAGCTAATCAGATATCAACTACAACATAGAAACAGAAAAAAATCTCTTTAAGAATGTTTGCTGAGTAAACTAGACCTGACATTAAAAAAAATAGCAAAGACCACAAAAAAAAGCTTAGGCTTCAGACAGTAACATCTGCTTTACAAATCCATAAATTCAAGGTTTGGTTTATTTAATTACTGCAAAGCACGCTAGGGCTATCTGCCTAAGGAGAGGAATGCCTTCGTGGAGGACTTTCTAAGGGAAACTGGCTCATATACACGATACAGATGGGGGAAACCATGAAAATGCCCATGCAGCTAGCCTGTTCGCAGAATTCGAACCTCGGACCGAACTTACAGCGTTCAGCGACTTTACCGCTCGGCCGCTGGTGGGACCCATAAATTCAAGAAAAATAACGTTAACCTATTAAAAAAAAGACAGCAAAGCAAAAACAGTCTGTGGTCCAGCATTGGGTGCTAAATATAAAGGTATAAGAATCATTTTGAAGCTGTGCATAGGACTGTAAAAACATTAGTTACAGAAAAGTGAATGATATTGAAAGCTATAACCAAAATGTTAATTTATATTGTTATGAATTTTGTAAATAGATATATGATTTTAGTGCAATTATACATGAAATTGCTGTATTTTATTGTGTTTTACATATTTTTTAACATGAAAAATCTAGAGAGATAAACTATGCTGGGAAAGTACAAATTTGTAATTGGTCTCAGTAATTTGGCAAGACAGCTGGCAACAATTTTGTAAACTAATTTTTGTCACAAAAATTGCCAAAATCGTCAAACTTGGCAATATTTTGGTCTAGTCATTCTATCACTGTAATAAATATTGTAAATTGAATAAATGTAAGTGATCACTATATTAGCTGTACACCGTAATTCAACCCTCATATTGCCTTCCACTAATTTCGAGAAGCAGAAAGTGCTAGAAATATCTCGGTGGCCGGATGAAACTATACAAGGCCAGAGAGAGCATCTGCTCTCAGTCGTTGTTGATGTGTGCTGTGAGTTCTTAGTTCAGCGTCAGTTTGGATTACTGAGATATTTCTGGGATAAGTTTCTCTTTAGATGTGCTTTGTATTGTGTTGTGTTTAATTTTCTTAGAGTGTAACTAGTGGTTGTACTCTGTATACTGTGAACACCTGCGAGAGAATTTCCGTAAAAAAATCCAAAACTCTGAAATTCTTTTTTTTTTTTTTTTGATAAAATAAATTTTATTAACCTATCATTGGACATGTGTGCATTCAATCGATTGCAAACCCATATGCACGCAACACTTTTTGGTGTCAAAAGTGGTTGAAGTGGTGACAAGAGCAATGGAGGAGCAACTACAACAGCTTGCGACTGCCTTTGTTGCATTCCAGGAAAAGATGAAAGCCAGTCAAGAATCCATTAAAGATGAGATGATAGTGAGCCAAGAAAAGATGGAAGAAGCAGTTAGCTCCATTAAAGAAAAGATGAAAACTGGACAAGAGGAAATGAAAAGGGAAATTACAGCCATAATAGGAAACAAATTTGAGGCTATGGAAGACAGAATACACATGGCTGAAAATAAAGTTGAACAAATTGAAGAAAGAGGTTCTTCAATTTGTTCAACTATCTAGGACTATCTAGGATTGTTCAACTATCTAGGATTTGTTAAGCTATCTAGGACTCCCTCAATATTTGAAACTGTGTACTGTACCAGAATTTCGAATCAGATGATGGAAAGGCTTTCTGATGGCAGCTGATACTTCCAGTATCTCGGATATCCTTAAAGAATTACATAGTGAGCCAAGAAAAAGCTCCATTAAAGAAAAGATAAAAACTGGACAAGAGGAAATGAAAAGGGAAATTACAGTCATAATAGGAAACAAATTTGAGGCTATGGAAGACAGAATACACATGGCTGAAAATAAAGTTGAACAAATTGAAGAAAGAGTTTCTTCTGTCAATGAACAGAGAGTTTCTGGCATGGAACAACAAATCAATAACAGAGTTGCTGCCACAGCCAAAGTTGACACCTTAGAGAAATGCATAGCAGTGGCAGAAATGCAACTCTGTCGGTTTTAAATTTTTACCCATTCATTCTTGTCTCTCTCTCTCTCTCTCTGAAGCTATCCACATATGATGCTAAGATATCTTGGCAAGTGTATGAGACACAATTTTCTATAGTGGCAGCAGTAATGGACTTTTCATTGTCGGACATATCAATGGAGTTACTTGCAGTATGACTATCAATACAGGAGCCAATGTTAGCATCATTCCCAAAGAGTTGGTTCAAAAACTGGAAAGTAAACTTATCTGGATGCCGCCCAGATACTGATCTATTGTCCTACAAAACAATATTAAGCTTTCTAGGACTCACTCAATATTTGAAACTGTGTCCTGTACCAGAATTTCGAATCAGATGATGGAAAGGCTTTCTGATGGCAGCTGATACTTCCAATATCTCAGATATCCTTAAAGAATTACATAGCAATCCAACAGGAGGCCACTTTGGAATAATGAAGATATTGCATAGAGTTCAAGAACACTTCTGCTGAAATAATGCAGGGGATGATGAGCAAAAGTGATGCCAATCTTGCTATGCTTGCGCGGGTCAGAAAGGACTGAAGAAACGCAGCTGAGGGAAGATGTAGAAGCACCTTTTGAAGACATCATGTTTGGCATCCTATGACCTCTGCCACAAACCGCTGATGGCAAATACATCCTCATTGTCATTAATTATTTCACCAAGTGGTCTGAAGCATATCCTATTCCTGACCAAGAGGCTGGTAGCAAAGGTAATGATGATACAGCATTGGATTTCCAGATTCGGAGTTATCTTCAGTTACATTCCAATCAAGGAAGAAACTTTATCTGGGTTGTAATTAAAGAACCCGGTAAGCTACTCAACATCAACAAAACTCAAAATGACACCTTTGCATCCCCAGTCAGACGTCACAGTAGAGTTTTAATAGAACCATCCTTAATAAGCTCTCGTTGATGGCTTCCAGAAAACAAAAGGACTGGGAAAAGAAGTTACCACCATTCTTACTGACCTATCGCAGTGCTGTCCACAAAACTACTGGCTATTCCTCATTGCAGATGCTCTTCAGTCGTGACCTTTAATGCTCTTGTGATCTCTTGCTTGGTCGCCCTCCACAAGCGCAATGACACATGAAAAATCTACAGAGACAAGCTACGCCAGAAAAAGTAAGAATACAGGGGCAAGTCCATTCAACATTGTGTAAATAGGTTTCTCGGTAATTTGGCAAGATATCTCCAGGTGGCAACAGTTTTGGTGACTAATTTTTGTCAAGAAATTTGGCAAAAAATCGCCAAACTTGGCGACCATTTGGTTTTGTCCCTGTAGAGCCATAACAGGTATTGTAATTGAATAAATGTAATTTATCCCTATATTAGCTGTAACTGTTATTCGACCTTCATATTGCATTCCAGTAATTTCAAAAAGTACTAGAAATATCTCGGCAGCCACGTGAAAACTATATAAGGCTTGAGAGAGCATCTGCTCTCAGTTGTTGTTGATGTTGTTAGTTCCACGTGAGTTTGGAGTACTTAGATATCTCCAAGTTAGCTTTTTCTTTAGACATGCTTTGCATTGCATTCTGTTTAACGTTCTTAGAGTGTAACTGCTAGATGTACTCTGTGATACTGTGGACACTTGTGCAAGTGTTTCTGTGGAAAATTCCAGAAGTCTGAAATGCTTCTTTTGATAAAATTAATTTTATCTGCCTATCATTGGACCTGTGTGCTTTTTATTGTGAACTCATACGCTTGCAACAATGTATTGATGATGTGCCAAAACAGGAAAAGAATTCTGGTAATATTTTAAATATTAAATGTATTTAAATATTAATTCATTAGATAACATATTAAATTTTAAATAAATAAAAAATTATTAATTTGTTATCTATTTAATGTTTGAAATAATGAAATTTCGTTCTAATGTGACACAGGAGCTAAAACTAATTTATTGCCTATATGTATATTATAAGAGCATGAGCTTCTCTGTAAATCATCAGCTAAGTATAACTGATGTAACATTAATGTCATATACTATATATTAAAAAGAGAAGATAAAATATTATTGAATTGCAGTGTTAATTATTACAGTAATATTCTACTGAAATTTATTGCTGTATATATATCTTCCAAAACAATTTTAGGTTAAAGTGTTGTCAAAGATGAAATTTATGATAAAAATTGATTGCATTCAATCACATACTAAAGATCACAACATAAATGCACACAGTGAATTTTTTTAGGGTTTCGATTAATCTCCTGGTGACCCATATCACACTGACTTGAGTCTTGAAATAAAGCCTGCCATTAATCCTCCAAGATGAATTCCAGTCTCACTTCATGAAATGCGAATAATACATATTTCCAGCTGTAGAACTAGTAAGCAGTTAAAAGGAGAGAGAGTATTCTCCAAACGTCTTAAAGGATGGATTTCGCAAGTGTATTTGGATGAACATACATCAGATTTGTGCACATTTAACACTCCTTTTGGTAGGAACCAATTTCAAGAATGCCATTTGGAATAGCATCAGCCCCAGAGGTATTCCAAAAGTGAAATCTGAATTTGCTTCATGCCTCAAGAAGTGTAGAGACATATTTTGATGACGTAATTTTGATCAAGAGTAGCATAAGTGAGCATGATTTGACACAATTACCAAATAATGTTTTTTAAAAAATAATGTTTTTTAAGATAGAGCAAAAGATTGTAATATCAAGTTTAACACTACAAGTTCTAATATAAGGTGTAAGAAGAGAGGGGCAGATTATGGCTAATCTACAACTTGTGAAGGAAATTGCTGATCACCGACAGCATGAAGAGTATGTGATCACTTGAGCATGCATGAGATGAGCATGCAAGAGCATGTAAATGCTTTTAAACAAATTAAGTGCTTGCTTTTCTCATCAACTGTTTAAAAGTATTGTTTAGTGGTTCCAATCAGTCATACAGTACAGTTCAAAAGGTGAAATGGAGCTAGTCTCACTTTAGATAATACCCTAGTGTAATATACATCTCAAAGTCTCATACAGACTGAACAAAATTATGCCCAGTTAAAGAACAGAAATTCTATTCACTGTTTCTGCTGTAAAAAAATATCACAACTTTGCATACGGGGAAAAATTATAGTTGAAAATTATCATAAGGTACTAATTGCCACTGTGAATAAAAGCAATATAAAATGTTTCATCAAGATGACGAGAATGCTATTAAATCTTTTTATGTATCAAACTGAAATACTTTATATTAAAAAAATTAAATATATCTTGCGAACATACTCTCATGAGCCTATCTCAAAAGTAAAGTAGCTGATGATCCAGAAATGCTAATTGTTGTTTATACTGTTAAATAACTTCCAATAAATGAACAAAGGTTATAACACAGGGTCAGAAGGTTATTTGAATTCAATTCTAAAATTAGTGTGTGAATTTTGGAGAAAGACTGACCTAATAATATAAAATCCAGATAGCAGTATTTTAAAAATTACTTGTATATAGAATATGAACTTATTAAATGTTTCAAAATTATGGTACATATATGTATGTATGTTTGTTGTATATTCAAAATATGGTACCTATCTGTATGAAATGAGATGTTATCTTGATTCCATGAACAATGGCATATCTACATAAAATGGTGCCTGTGAAAAGAATTTTAACTGTACCCCCCTTTAAAATATTTAAAATTAAAATTTTCTCCTACTGATTTGGTTTCATGGAGAAAATAGTGCCCTTTGCCAAGTGGCGCTCAAGTCACGTGCCTTTCCTGCCATACCTTATATAAGCACTTTCCACAAATGACATTCTGGTATTGTGAAAGGGAAATACTTCACTGGCCCCAAATATGCCTAAATGTAGAGTCTTTTAGGACTTTATTTATATTTAGGAAAGATTCTGAATTTCACAAGGTAGAAAAGTAGTAAGCTTAATGGAATTTAGGAACATTCATATTTCAGGATTAAATTTATCACTAGTACAACTAATTGGTCATGTGCTAGGAACCAAAATTCCCATACATAATAAATTACTACATGCATAGAATCTTTAAAGTTTTAGAGAAAAGGTTTGATGCAGGCAGTAAAGGTAAAAAAATTATTATGACAAGGGAACCAATATACTGAAACTTTTTTCTCTTGGCGATAATGTAACTATGTATAGAAGGGGTTTACACATTTTAAGAATAATTTTAGGGCTGTTTAATTAATGTTTAAAACGTAAAGAGTATTTTTTTAAATGTTTGATCCAGTAGCCTTTTTTTCGCCATTAAATATCTGCATCATGAATTCCATGATAGAAGGCTTTTTGCAAAATTTTCAGGACTAGACTTCAATTTCCATCAAATGTGGTGGGTAGTGCTT